TTTAATTTTAAACATTTAAAAACAAAAATTTCGGAATTATTTACAACTTGTTTTCATTATTAAATAAACTTTCTACGGTTGGAATTTTTTCACATATTTCGATAATAATATAATTTTTTTTACGTTATTTTTATTGTTTTTATAAAATTTCTATCATGTGAACGTTTAGCAAAAATTTTTTTCAATTAAAATTAATAAGAGCAGAATTTTCAAAAACTTTTAAAACTTGAAATTGGAATGAATTATTATTTGATCAAAACATTTCATTTAAAATTTTTTTTATTGTTTTTTAAGTTTTTTTATAAAACTTTCATATAATGAACGTTTATAAAAATTTTAAATAAATTGAAATTTAAATTAATACAACTAAAAATTTCTAAAACTTTTATAATTTTAATTCTTAATTTGTTTAATTAATTTAACTTTTGACGGTTAGAATTTTTACACCAATTTCCAAAAATTAAAGTTAAACTTTTTTATTTGTTTCAATTTTTTATTTTTTTTCTAAAATCGTTAGCAGGTGAATACACATTACAAAATAAATTTTTTTTAAATGTTCAAAGGTCAAACTCGCTAGTAAAAATATTTATGACTTCGAATTTAATTCGTTGAAATCGGGTGCACATTTTTTTTGCATATTTTGAAAGGCGTTGATAAAACATTTCGTTCTCCAACTTCAAGTCAAAATTATGGCCGGTCAACGGATATATTCAATTTGTATACATTTAAGCGCACATTACTGGTACCCATTTACTTAGTTGTGCATATACATAGGTACATAGTATATGCGTGTGCTTGTTTGTATGTACACTTGTGTGAGCTGGTGATTTCAACAATACTCGAATTCATTTCAATTCGCATTGATTTCAATATCATTTGGCGATTTTTGTTTACTTTTGCATTCACAATAAATTAAACGGACTTGTGTTCTGTATTACTTTCAGTATATACAAAGACAGCAAAGCAACAAAAACGAATATTACCAATGGCTATATAGGTATGCAAAAAGAAATCAATACACAATTAAACAAATATGCGTGTGTATACTCTAAGTTTAATTAGTACATAGTAGAATTTGTGGAAAAACATTTTACCTATTTATACGCGCTTTTATTTTCACACACACACACACACATATATATAGTTGTATAGTATATAACAATGCATTACGCTACTCAGTTTTACTATTCACGACAGCAGCGAGCTAAATTCCATTGTTCGTTTATATAAAACACTGCCAGAATTTGTATATATAAACTGCCAGTGTACAATATTTTTGCATAAAATAATTGTTTAGCAATTTTAAAATATTTTCTTAGGTATTCAAACTGGCATAAATAGGCTTAGAATTTTACATAAAGCTGAAAAATAGCTATATCTATCAAATATGCTTAACATGTAAACTGGTATAACCTGGTATAAAATATTTTTGTGTAAAAATTTCAACATAATTGAGGATTAAGTCAATAAAGAACACCATTAGAGCTCACACCAAAACACAAAAACCCAACTAAATCAAAACATAACTCACCTAGGCAAGTCCCTGAAGCCAAACTAATTTTGCTTTATACTTTTTGCATAGTAAAAATTTATTTTGTGTTACTATTTTTTACAAACTAAGCTTTGTCTTGTAATATAATACACAAATTTAATCTAATATAAAAATTTATTTACATACTTGAGTGCCTGTCTTTTTAAATTTTTAAATATACTTACTTTAATTTATACTTCTTTCACATTTATATATGTTTATTCTCTATCTTAATAGTAGAGCTCAACTGCTTCTTGGCTTCAATCAACTTTGTTTTTTTTTCCTTTACTTTTCTGCTTTTTGCACTCTGTGCAAATCTCACTTTAATTAGAGTGTCTATCAGTAAATGAGGGCATGTGTGTGCTTGAGCTTCAAGTAGAGGAAATGAACTTTCCTAATATCAACTACCAGCATAACTAGAATGAGTTTCATGTAAAAAGCTGATGGGTAAGTAAACACATACATATATATGTATATTTGTATATATGTATGTAGGTAGGTAGTTTTTAGGTGCATATGAAGAGACATGTGACTTTCCATATGTTCATGTATATGCAGAGCTATGAAGATTGACTTTGGAATACAAATCTAAATTGACGAAATTTTTGTTGTAGTCAATATATTTTAAAATTTTTAAATTTAAGCATGAAATTAAACATTTGTGAATAGTAGAATAATAAGAATAGAAAATTGGCATTCAATTTTTTATATCTGATAGGTACAATAAAATGTAAATTTCGAAAAACTAAAAATTTTAAAATTTTTTTGTTTTTGTTTTTGTAGTAAGCTTTTTTAGTTTTATAAAAAACTTTTGTTAAAAAATCAACAGAGGCACAAAAAATTTAAATAAATTTAATGTATAAATTTTTTCTTAGTTATATATATAGTTTTAGTTTCAAAATTTTTGTTGAAAAAAGTTTTTAAAAAGAATTTATTTTGTTTTTACTTTTACTAACTCTTTTGAATGGGTTGTAAAATAAAGATTTCCAAATTTTCTAAATTATTTTTAAATTGTGAAAAATTATATACTTTTGCCAGAATAAATTTTATTTCGCTGATTTTGGATAACATTTTTTTTTTTATTTATATAATAGCCTGAGCAGCCACAATGTTTGTAATACCCAAAAAGAAACGCCGGCGACCCTATAAAATGTATAAATAAATTATCAGTCTGACAAGCTTAGCCTATTTAGCCATGTGCGTCTGTGTATACGCGGTTTATTCCCACAGGTTTTGAGATATTGGTTTGAAAATTTACACACGTCCTTTTCTCCTTCAAGACGCTGTAACCGTCGATATCGTACAACTGTAGCAAATATGTAGCTGAAACATTTTAACTGTTCCGTTATTGTCAGGAAATTTGGCATAACTTATTCAAAAAGCATTGATATAATCGCCGAAAAAATTGCTTGGAAACAATTGGACTACTATAGCATATAGCTGCCATACAAACGAACCAATCAATCTCAAGTCCTTGTACGGAAAACTCTTTTATTTGTAAAAATATCTTCACGAAATTTGGCATAGCTTGTTCTACAAATCATTGCTACAATCTCCAAACATATTGTTCAGATCGGAGCACTATAACTTATAGCTACCGTTCAAATTGACCGATCAGAATCAGAGTTAAGATAATTTTTTTATGCTATAAAAAATGCACCTGTGAAGGGTATTATACATTCAGTGCAGACAAAGTTTTTTCTTGTTTTTATTGTAATATAGCTAAAATAAGCGCTTTAAAGCTCGCAGAAACAAATTACAGTTTATTTTTTATTTATATATATTGCGCAATATTTCACACTCATTACGTATTTTTATAATTGTTTATTTTTTTTTATCTAGGCCACTCTCGGTACACAAATGCAATAAAACTTAATTAATCCTGAAATTTTGTTATTTTTGGAGTTTTTTGCTGAAAAATACACTATTTTCTAATTCATTTTGAAATACGAGATTAATATCATTAATAACACAGAACTTACAAATAACTTTTCTTTACGTTAGCGATGTATTTTTTTAATATATTTTCAAAATCAGAAACTTACTTGCCTAACTTGGTCAAAATCATGGGCACATGTTCATTCATAGTGTGTTTCTGGAATTTTTTATACAAATCAAATAGCTTTCAATAAAATTTTCACTTAGAAATTTTCTCTAATTTTTTTAAGAACTTTTTTAACATTTTTTGCAAAAAATCTTAAATACAAAGTTATTTGTTGTAACAAAAATATACAAAAAATTTAAATTAAAAAAAATATATATATTAAGCGATTTTTTTTTTTTATCATAATATTTGTACTTTTATTCAATATATTATTTCATAATACAGACTTTTTTCTTTTTTACTTTTTTGAAACCAAAAAATTTGGTTTGCAAAAATTCAGAGACGTTTGCGTTTTTTTTTCTACTGCTTGCAAGAGGTTTCAATCAAAAAGAAAACTTCTTATTAAGAAAATTCAATAGTCCACATATTTGTTATTTATAAGAATTTTTACACGATGACATTTTTTTATTAAGAAACGTATTTTTTTTAAATTTAAACGACGGAAAATTTCTTACGAATTAGAAAAAAAGTTAATATATAGCAAAAATTTATCTTTATTATCTTGTTTAAAATTCAATGAAATTTTATTTGCGAAATTTGTTATTTATTCTCTAAGAATACTTATAAATTAAAAAGGGAAACACTTCCCAAAAGCATTTTTTTTATCAAAGCTGAGTTTTTTATTAGAGAATTTTTTTTTAATTTGAAATTTCGAGCCTTAGCAAAGATTAGCAAATGTTGTGTGGATTTCAATGTTGCTTATTTTGAAGAAATCGCAGAGAAACATTTAATCAAAAATATATTTTAGAAAGCTTGTTTTTTTATTTGAGATTTGAAAAATTTGAAGAGTTGTGGCGATCTCAATTTTCTTTATCTTTTTCAAGACAACATGTTCTAAATAAACCTAAAAATTATATTTTATAAAAGGTCCTTCTTTTATTTTTATATTTATTTGAGTTTTAAAAAGATATTATTAATTTTAAGTTAAGGTTGGGAAAAGTGGTGTTGTTTTTTCTTTTTGAAAAAATTACATAGAAAACACTTTTAAACAAACTTTAAATTTTATTTTATAAAAATATTAATTGCATTTCAGAAACATATTTTTTAATTTTTAACATATGTTTAAAAGGAAGTGGCGATATCAGTTGTTTTTTTAGTTTTGAAGAAATTCCATGGAAAAATTAACTTGTAAAAGATATTTTTTTTAATGTTCGGATTTATGCTCTTTTAGAAAGGTTCTTTTAACTTTATGCAAAAAAAATACATTTTTTTAAATTTTCAGTTTTAGCAAAGATTTGAGCTCGTTAGCTAATACTATAGCATTAAGTTGATCATACATTTTTTTTTTATATATTGTATTTTTATACTAATACTTTCTAAACTCAATTTGTATTAGTTTATTTATTACTTTTATTTATATTCTACCTTTTTGCTGCAGATATTTCTCCAACTCACTGCTCCTTCGCCAACAAAATTTAGGTTTTTCTTGCAAACATCTTAACACTTCAGCACATATACTTCACTGGCTAAGCTTTGACTCAGACATTTTTATACAATTTTAAATTTTAAAACAATTTTTTATTTTTGGTATTTTTTTGTAGTATTTCTTTTTTAATTTTTCACAATTTTCATGTAGTTTTTCACTATTTCTATAATATATCAACTTTTTTTAATAATGATTTTTTAAAATTTAATTTTGTACAAGGTTCAAAGTTTTCTTTCCACCACCCCAACTATTTCCACCAGAATTTCCGCTCTAATTACAGAAAGGCTGCTCACACACACTTTTCGCACGTAAAAATTAATTTTTTGTTTTGTAAATTTTCATATTTGCTTTTGCCACTGGCGCATTTTCCATTCACTGCACTTTAAATATTTACTGTATTTAATTTGCAAAATTTGTAATTTTTTTTCAATATTTATCTATTTTTTTTTTTGCTGTGTTGTACACAAAGTATTTACTGCACGAGTTTATAGACTGAATTTTACACGCGCGAACACACTTACGCTTAAATACAAACCGTATATTATATTATATATATTTGTGTATGTATATATGTCTGTGCGCACCTCAAACACTGCATGCATATATGTATGTACATGTGTCTGTCTAAACACCACATAGAAAAAAAATCTTAATTTTCACCGTACGCGCGCATCCCTTCGGAGGGAGGAATTTCGTGTTGCTGTCCGCTCGGAGGCTGAAAGCCTACTAGTCTTGGCCAGTCACATTGGAGAGCTGTTGCTCAGTCGCATGCCGAAATGTTAGGGAAAATTCCAAAAATTTCCCTGTCAACACATTCACACACACACACACGCGCACACCTATACAACTTAACAGTCACATGCCTGCCAGCTCACTAGCCAGCGTATAACGAACAGCCGCACTCTCCCGGTTCGCCTGTTCGTCAGGGGCAACTCGGCCGCGCCGAAGCATGCTTTGGCGCCTGTTCGCCCGTCGACTAACTGGCTAGCCAACCATTCGGCACACGCACTCAACACACACACATATACACGCAGTGCGGGCACAGCGGCACATTGCGGTGGGTCGGCAACCAGTGAAGCGAGTTGAAAATACCTACACTGTTGAGCTATTCATTGAAGGGAAATTCTGTTGTGTTTTCGGTTTGAAGTTTGCACCTATAAGTCTCCAAATGCAGGTGGCCGCTGGCAAGGATAGTCTCCAAACAAACTTTCATTCATGCGGTCTTTATAAGAACTTTTATCTGCCGCGCTAGTTGGCGGGATCTTTGAGCATGTGACTTATTGGAAGTGTTGTGTGAGGGTGGGAGCAATGTGCAATGCTGTCGGGTTTAAGCAGAAATATGCCTGTTTTGGTTCTACACGGTATTGAAGTTATTTCAACTATAGCGAGATAACCTAAACGTGGCTTTTTTTCTTTTGCTATAAATGATTCCATTTAAACAGCTAAAAGCGCCGGTTTGTTGTGATGCCCGAAACAGAGTAGATGAACCCACATAGTTCGATATTTCGAAGAAAAATTCTCTCTATATTTTGATATTGAATATAGATTCTTGTTTCCAAAAAATCTAGTAACATTAACACATCTCTCTGATATGAACTTATCCTCCAGCCGTGGTCCCATTAATATTTTATAACTTCAGGACATTGAAAATACTATAAAAAGAGCTCTGCACATAATCCACGTTACAGCAAACCGGACAAGACACTACCCAGTCTCGAATATAATTTGCTCGATGAGAAGAAACTCATCTCCCCTCATCGGTCTTTCCGCATAAAAGGGTTCGGACTTTTCATGAACTCATTTTGGAAGTACATATAGACGCGCTGCAGGAGGATTTCGAAAAATCGAGTTTCATGCCTTGCGGCATCTACCACAATGTGAAAGCCTTTCGTTTTAGTCGGTGGTTCCCCCTTTTTCAATTTATGAACATTTCTCAGCTATCTCAAAGTCTTCTAGGAACGTTGGAATCCATATTCAGTACTCTGCTGTGAGATTTAGTAAAATGTATTTAGACAAAAGCTTTGCGGGTCTCTACAGTCAAATCAAGACATTGCGACTCTACGTCGTATATAAAGGCCAGCTAAGAACACCATAGTAGAATGGGTTGAGTAGTTAAACATGTATTCTTTCGGACATCGATAATCCAGTTGTTCATAAAAAGCTGGACAGTTTTTTGGATAGCCAAATCTTTTCCCACTTATTAAAGCACAGACAAATCCTGTAGTCAAATGGTATTCAGAAATGTATCCACGAGGTCTTTAACAAACATCTTCAGTTATTTATGCCTTCATTCATATTTCATTAAACCACTTAAATACAAAGCCTATGCTGCTTTAAATTTCAGGTACAAACTCTCCATGCTTTTAAATAATTTATTACATTTCTGTTTAAGGCTCTGCTACTAAATAACACCCTTTGAAGGTCTACAAACCACCAATTGCAGTATTTCCCTGCGTGCGCTCTTTTTCTATATTCCTTTCCCGGTATCACTCGCTCTCTTGTGGTCTTCCACTGGAAATTAACACACTCACGCGTTTCAGCGTCGCTCTCTCCCAGCGTCAATAACTTCTCCTTGAACTGCGCGCAAAATATCCATACCTATATATATTGTAAAGGTAGAGACTGTTGAATGCTAACAAGTGGAGCAACAGTTTGCGCCAACAACAAGCTTGCGAACGCTACACATACTTACACACACATTCATGTGTTTAGCGTGGTCTATGAAACAGGCAAAGAGTTTCATTGAACTGCATTCAATTCTGCAGTGTAGTTTAGGTTAGTGGTGTGAGGCTTGTAGCTATAAGCTATCTTTCTTTTTCCTTTACACATATACTGTTAAATTCGCTTATCAGTGTGGTGCCGGAACCGCTGGATGAATGAACATTTGCTTATTTTCCGCTTGGTATCATTACCTAAACACATATATATACCTATAATATTACAAAGAACTTCAGTCGAAGTGACTAGTTTTTCAGGTCTTGCGAAGTTTTGTTCAGATTTCGAGAAAAAAATTGCGCTCGGAAGAGTAGACCAGACAGGAATATATATTATGAAAATATTTTGACTGCTGTCTTTTAAACTAATTTTGGAACTTAAGCCAAAATTAGCCTTCAGCCTCATAGAAGTGTCCAAAACGTTTAACTCATAGCCTGACCAGTAAACTTAAGTAATCTCTTGTGAAGATATTGCCAAGCGGACACACAAAATCTGTAAGGTCAGATAGTCACGGAGCCCAAGGTAACTCAATATTGTGGTATTGCTTCGAAAAAGCAAGTTCCTTGTAACTTTGGCTCTGACAAAGTTGGCAATGTTAGTGCGAACCGAGCTAGAAAACATTTTTCGACCGAAAATATTTATTCTAGTACCGGCCACATTCTTCTTCTTCATTTTAATCCCCAAATCTTCTTTAAAATATTATTTTGGACCTATCTGAACTGAGTTTTATTCTGGCAGATTACCATTTATTAAACAGTGGCTCTCATCAGCTGTACATAAAAGATCCGCTAGGAAGTGTCTCTCAAATCCAAAACTCTATCATAACTCTTTTATTGCAGATACCAATACGAGGTATGCCGCATACTCCGATGTGTTTTGGTATCTATATACTTAATAGTTTTTCGAGGTCTTCTATTACAGTCTATCCTTATGAGAGCGATATATTCTGTTTAAAAGTCGTTAATGTGGATTTTTGATCAGTTAATCAGGCTAGCATCGGGATTTTACTTTGATTAGAAATTGCCGAAACTACAGCGAAGTTTTAAGCAGGCAAATTCCCGTTTTCATGGTGTTACTATTATATGAATAAACATCGCGGTGCTTCAAATAGTTTGTGACTTCTTGTGACAACATGGTTTAAATTAAAGAATTATAAGACTCTGCTAATGGTGTGTGTCGCCTTTGAATTTTCTGTTAGTAATCATCCAAATTATACACAACTTAAGTCCACAAAACTTGCGCTAGTATTTTTTATATTTTTATCTCTTTAATATGATGTATTTAAGCAAAAACTTTTAGCAAACCGGCCAACGTCCAAATCAGAATGATTGGCTGTATTAAAATCGTAGCGCCACCGCCACCATTTGGTTCCGCCGTTGTGGGACTTTGCGTTGGCGGTGAGCTCGTGGACTCATTAATAAAACCGGTCCCACTATAAAAATTACCATAAATCGAGAAAGCCAAAAGATTGTCGGTTGTTGTGTTCAAAGTATAGCGCACATGACGCGTTACCTCCGCATCACTAAAATTAATACAAAAGCAATATTACTAAAGAGCCAGAAAGCCAAACTATTGTAATTATACTCACATCAACTGATCGTATTCCTCCCACTCAAATTCATTGACCGCCAACGGTTTGAGATCGTCACGCAAACTGTTCGGCATTAACAAATATGGATAACCCGTTTGGAAGTTGGACTCAATAGCTATGCGATCGAAAGCGACTTGCGGCTGCTGTACGACATCAGCGGGGAACATGCGTCCACAATCGGCTATATCATTACCGATGCATGTAAATACGGCACAATTGCGTAGCGCATTCGTAGTTTCAGCGCCCGGCTCATCGCGCATACCTTCGTAGGCACCTAAACGGTAGGTGTAATATTGTCCTGCCCCACCGGTAGTAAGTTGATGCCATTGTAGCTCAAAATGACAGCAGAACGTATTGTGGCATACATCATACTCAGCACGACTACTAGTATTCGTCAAATCGACTAAAATGCTCTCGTATTGATCCACATAGTCGCGTTTTAGTAAAATATCAGCTTGGCTTAGACGGTGCGTTGCTTTTGGTTCCACTACAGTCTCAGTTACTTGTGCCACAGCCGGTACGCTTCTATTGATTAGCGTCTTTTTTGGTACTCTCGCCACATATAAACGACGTTCGCCTTCACCGGTTTTCATTACGGAGAGTAATGGACCAGCGCGCCCAGCATAGATGCCTGTACCGGTTGAGCCAACAGCTGGAAGACTAGAACCAGCAGCAAGCACATTAACGTCGTTTGCGTAAGCCCACGACTCTTGGAATTGAACCGCTGGAAAAGATGTGGTATTAGATCAGTAAAGTATATCGGTATTAGGTTATTTAGAAAAGGGTTTCATAAGATCCCAAAGTTTTATTGAAATGACGTGACTTACAGTTCGAAACTGCTATGAACGTTGAAGAGGACTTAGTCACGCCAGCCAAATCGCGCTATACTGACTCCAAGCAATATTTTAACTCATTATACACTTACCCGTCAAAAATGGTAACTGTGAGAACCACATTGATGTAAAGATCACATCCGTTAGACCCAAACTAACCAACACCTGTGCGGGCTTATAAAACAATATATCAAAACAGACGATGTGTCCAAATACTACACCGAAGTCGGTGTCGAAAAACCGCAACTCAGCATCATAGGTGGTATTCTTTCGCTCGCCATATAGATTCCATTTGCGATAGCGCGAAATTACCTTGCCCTCACGATCGAACACAACATTAGTATTGAAAATATTTAGGCCATTCGATGCACATGGACGCGGGTCGGCTGTAAAAGCGACGCACTTTGAACGCTCTGTTAAATTGATAACAATATATTTACGCGCCGCGCGCGCAGCACACGATATCTGCACCAGAAAATCAGAATAATCGCTAGTGTTGCCCAGCAAGCAGGGTATGTTGCCATGGTCGCTTTCGGGCTCAGGTACAAATGTAGCTGTATCATCGCTATTTAATGTGCTCTCGGGGAATACAATAATATCTGTAGCCTGCGCAGCTTTCGAGCTTATTATCTCCAAATAACCGGCGAGATTGTCTGCTAAAGCAGCATTTGATTCATTTCTAGCGGGTCGAAATTCCACAACACCGGCGGTGTAATATAACGATTCCGTACTATTTGTATCATCGGCGGCGAGCGGCGTCAGCGGACTCTAAAAGTTGATAAAGTATAGCATTACTATGGACAAGCTGACAACTTTGTATGGACGCGATAAGACGCGCATTAATTGCCTTACCTTACCTTTACGTGGCTACTTAACTGGTTTCACTATTCAACTCACCTGTTTCGTCGACCGGAGCAGTAGCAGCGCGCATGCCAGCCATAAAGTCAGCGTTTTGCTCTTTCCAGACCATATTCGGCTCATTTTTGCGATTCTTCTGCTGAACTGTGGAGTTTTAAGTGACGAAAACTTCTCCGGATTTTTAAATGTAGTCTACCGAGCGCACACCATAGGGCAAATGACCGTTGCTCGCTTAGCGTTTTGCCTTTATAAACATCAACAATTCGCAAATTCTAAGCTATCTGATTTGCCCATTTAATCTTATCTTTTAATTGAAGTATCGATAATTGGTTTAGCAACACTTTAATTTTCAAATGCTAATAATCAAATACTGATGTTATTTGTACTTTAAATTACATACTTTTAGGCGCCAAGCAGCAAATTCTTTGGCTTTGTGCTCCCCCAAAACTATTGTACAGTCTCAGTAGACTTTTGCTACGCCATGTGAATGACCACCACATTTTATACCTTAATTTGAAGCACGTGCTCAGCTGCAGTCTACAATCCACCATCTGTCCGCAGTTGAGCGAGTTTGTGCATGTCTGCGTGTGCGTTGGCTTGTGCAGAGGCGAAATTAAATTTATTATGGCTAAGGAATTGAATTAATAGCACACTGGCAGGCAATAAAAGGAGCACAATGCGTTGGCCTTTGGTTACTCAAGAGATAGTTGAAGATTGCTTGCAAGAGAGGATGAGTAGAGTTTAGGCGAAAATGATGGATACTGCACTCTGAGCACACGTGAAAACTGCAACATCATAAAGATGGTCAGTCACTTAAGTTGAAGAACAAGTTAATTAAGGTAATTTAATGCACGAAGATGAGCGAATTTGGCTGCGTGACCACCCCTTAATATGATCAGGGTGCGTATACTTGCGGCTCCGTTTTCTCTCTCAAAGTACATTTCCTCCTTGTAACAGATTTGTAGAAATCAGTACTTCCGACCCGGGAGATACGTGATTGTGCCTCTACCATATATATGTATATATCTAGAGCTCCAAATACCAACCGTGTTAAACTCAAAGCAAATTAATTCTCCTTGGCTTTTTCGACCAAAGTAGATTTTCGCCTTTTAAGAGCTTTAGTAAACATGCCATTACTCCGTCCGGAAGGAGGTTCAGGCAGGAGTTTGGCAGTCTGCATTGTGAAAGTTGATTTGACTAATTACATACCATTAAGAAGATAGTTATGCGAAGATGACTAGAAAAAAAAAACAGAGTAATAGCGAGTTTCTTGGCAGGCTGCCACATGTCATCGGCCTTCTGTTAGAATAACATACTTTTGGGCTAATCAGCGCCTTGATTTTTGATGAATTCGCTTTTCGAGAGGATCTTAACCATAAAAATATAGGGCATAAAAATTATCTCAAGCAAATTAAATTGTTTTAAAATCTAAGTATAAAAAGTAATATATAGTATATAAAATTTTAAGTAGCCCTACTACTACCTTTAATATAAATTGAAGACGAATCCTTGAAGTCTATATAAATCGGAAATAAAATGTATGTAGGAGAAAATACAGTGATCACCAAACAAATTCTTTAACCATTACTATTAAACGAAAAAAATTACCACTTAAAGGAAAATAAAAAAGTAAATATAAAATAAACCTAAAAAAATTATAAAATTAACTTTTCCCTAATTTTTAATTTTATATTTTTAAATTTTATTAACCCAAAACATACCCAAAAAATAGATATTATAAAATATATATTAACATAAAACATCAAAAATGCTTAACTTTAACATATATGGAAAAGTATATTTAAAAAAAAGATAGAGAAATTTTCTTAAAATTTGTATTAAACCAAAAGCCACTTTAATTATATATTAGAAATAAATATGAATTCAAAAATGTTTACTCTTAAAATATATGGAAAAAGAGAATTTAAATAAAATATTTAACTTTACTCACAAATTATATTAACCCAAAAACTACCCTAAATGTAAACTATAAAAATAGCATAAAACTTCAAAAATTTTTAATCTTAAAAATTTAGCTAAAACATGAAAATTAAAGTAAAATATTTTTCAAAATTTTAAATTTTAGATTTTCTCAAAATATGCGTTAACCCAAAAGCTTCCCTTAACAAAAATAAAAATAGTTCTAAAATGTCATTAATAATGCAAAAATATTAATAATTCAGTAAAACTACGCTAGATATTAGAAATATATAAATTTTAACACTTCAACTACAAAAAATATATTCAAAAAAAGGATTGAAAATATGTTTTGAATATAACAAATTTTTAAATTGTAAAAACGTTGAGTGTTATGACTGAATTTAGTATTAAGCCTTAACCTGCTGCAGTAAGGTAATTTTAAATATATGTATAATTAGTAGAGTGTACCAAAAAACAGTTTTATATCTTAATTAAGTGCTTAGTTATGGCAATTTATCGGTTTTAAATTAATGGCGTTTTGTGAACGTGGCAGTGCTTCGATTGCGCCCGTCTACGAACTCGTACTTTTTTTGACATAGAATACTTGTATAAACTCGAAATTTAATTCGTCCTCCTGATCATTTATATATATATAACTCCATATGTATCTAACTCGATTAGTTTTAGGTCATACAAACAACCGTTAGGTGAACAAAACTATTATACTTTGTGCCGACATGTGGCAAGAGCATAAAAACAGTGTTAAACGTGGAAAATTTTTTTCCTCTCTTTTTTGTAATTTATTCACATTTTATTACTATTTTTTTCAGCCATAACGGTAATTTTTTTCACTGATTCATGCAATAAATTAAAATTTTCGTGTTCTACATGTCGTATGAGTAACCTATTGAGTTTGAATTATTGCGAACACTTGTTGGCAACAACAACAACAAACAGATTTATTCAATTACAACAAAGTCACGTAATATGGCAATAAAATCAGAGATTTTCACATACGAAATCACTATTGGCAGAGGCAAACGCAACAACAACAGCAATAATAATTGCGATAACAATAATTTTATTAATAGGCCTTTTTTGTGTATATAAATGTGAAATATTCCATAGAACAATAAAAATTAAGTACATATGTTAAAGTAATCAACTCAAGTGGGCAATGATAAAGGTAAAACATATGTATTAGTGATACTTTCCAACACACATATATACATATATAGATACACACACAAACATACATGCCTACATGTTTCGCATAATAAATTCTGCTGTGTCCTAGTCCAAGCGCAGCTGCCATTTGTCACACTGTTGGACTTAACAAGTTGTTAAGATAAATTGTTTATTAAAAGCGCGCCACAACAACAATGCAAACGAATGTAGTATCAGACTTAGTAGCTTTGCTCGTTGACTAGTCAACTGTTGTTAACTTACAGCCAACTAGCAGGTTTATTTTGTACAAGTATGTCTGTATGCAGTTTATGGTTGATTCTTATCACCGTTACATACACTCAAGTATGGGGATTCGGCGTCAACTGTAAAGCTTATCATTAAAAAGTATTTTATCATAGTGCATAGTTTGCTCTCTACTGCATTTATCAACGTCGTTTTGTAAAGTATGCACAGTTATATAATATTATGTGTAGCATACTTTCAGGCATTCTAAAAGTTAGTGTGTAATTTTACTGCATTAATTCAATATTTATTACCTCTAGCCTATAAATATCATTACTATTTTACACTTTACTTAATTTAAAGCATTTAATTACTTTACAGTTAACTACTTTTTTATGTCATATTTATAATTTAAATTTCCTTTCGCATTGCAATGTGCTTACAATTTTTCACGAGAAGCAATTCTTTACTGTACTGCTATAATTTTCATTCACTTGCAATTATATGCTTAGCTTATCATTTTTTCATAATGTAATGATTACTTTTCGTTAACTACTTTTTAATTACAATCACAGCTGAAAATGGAATACAGGCGGGGTTGCAAATAATACTTTAAAAAAATATTCGAATTAACATTTGAAATTAATTTTGTAAACCCAAACCTATTTTCGCGTTCATTCAAATCAAAAAATAATATTTAAAATTTTCAATATCTAATCCCAAACATCTTTCTTTAAAAAATTAAATAGAAAATGAATATCTATTTTTAAAAACTAAAAGATTAAAAAATAAAATTTTTATTTTTAATTCAAATTTTTTAATTGGAAAATTCGCAACCCTGAATACAGGAACATACCAATATACCTTATCATTTTGTAGTCATGTAATGATTAATTTTCATTAATTACTTTCTAATTACAGCTACAACTCTGTTAGCTTATTATTAATTTCAATTGATTTTTAAACATAGCATTCATAATTACCACTGAATAGTAGTTAATTACTATATAGTTATTAAGTATGCCAGTTAATTTCCATTACAATTTGTGTCTGCTAAAAATTATTTTGTGCTTATTTACTTCGTAACAAAATCATTTATCAAATTCATTATTAATAAATAAATTTTCAAATTATTATACAAACTAATAATAAATAGCTTACCTTGATTACAAATGGATTACTTCAAATAAAATGTCTGACTTTTCCGGTAATACTTGTATACAAATATTGAATGGACTACAGGAACTTATCAATTATTTCAACTTATTATTTTGTAATCAGCTAATGATTACTTTGTAATTGATTATTTTTGATTACATTAACAAATTGGAACGAAATACTAGAAGTTATCAACTTATTATTTTGTAATCATGTAATAATTACTTTGTAATTCGTTATTTTTTTAATTACATCCACTATTTTGTTATTTTTTTATTAATTTCCATTAATTTTTTTATCAATATAATAGTATTAGATACCTAGTGATTACCGTACAATATTATTATTATTTATATATACATTTTAATCCAATTTAAAAAAATTTTAGAAGCAGCACTATACACATCACCTTCTGCATTTAAATTATTTATTAAAGATTTTTAATTGAACCTACTCACATTTCTCAGCCAGACGCTTTCCTATTATTTTCTCTTACTCACTTAATTGCTCTGAATTTTTTATACTTTTTATCTCTCGATACTAAGTCATTCTGCATTTTTTTATTTTCAACGTCATCTGCAATCATCAAAGCTTGTTGGTGAGATTTACGCCCCCATCAGCTACCGAACGTACGCTTCATCAATTTCGGCATTCATGCTGGCTGCCTTTAAGCAGCATTGGCATTGACGTGGCGCTGACATTGTGGGGCGCCGCCGTTGCTTTACATCACCACAAGCGCTACTACCTTGCCCAGACTACTCCCTAAGCGCTCCCGCTTGCTACGCGCGCTGCCATTGGTGCACGGTAGTACCTACTTATATAGTAGTAGAAGCCTTCAGTT